GACCCCACGGACACCGCCTCCTCCTCCTCCTCCTCCTCGGGAGTGCGATGAAGGGGCCCAGGGGCACACACATAAACAGACACGCATCCCAGGATTCCCCTAGTTTCCGATATTTTTCTGGAGTTTCGTCTTTCCCCCCCCCACTTCCAATGTGGTCCCATGTTATCCTGGGAATCGACAGTTCTTGGGGTCTGTGTGCTTTCCCTTCCTGGGCCGTCGGGGGGGCGGAGGGTGAAGATGAAAGGCGAAAAAACGAGGACCACGACCAAGGCTGAACGTGGACACGTCGGCGTCGATCTTGGTCATGGCCCATCTTGGCCGTCGTCAACTCATGGATCGTCCTCGCGAATCGGCAGCGGCGGCCTAGCCAGGAGGGGGAACTAGGAGGAGGACGACGAGAAGCACGAGGAACCAGAGGACGAATCATAATAATAAGCCTAATAATAAGCATAATACTAAGAAAAAGACGATTCGGCCTTGCGTGTGGTATCGGGCCTGACATAAGCAGAGGAGGAGGAGGACGAGGAGGGGGAGAAAGAGGAGGAGGAGGAAGGGGGGGCACGGCAAAGGAGAATGACGAGCACGATGGGAACTCGGCGTCACCATCTCGATTTCCCCCCCCCCCCTGGGTTCGCGGGGTTTCAGTGAACGTCTAGCGCCTGTTGCCCCGTTTTGCCCCGATCCTTCCACCCACTAATGTCCTGTTCCGCTCGCATTCCTCCTCCCTCCTCCCGCTCCTCATCGCGATCCCATGGAAAGACTACGCAACCAATGAACAGAATGCATGTCTCTGCGAATGCGGCGTAGCCCCCTTCTACGTGTTCGAATCGCCCATCCATGCACAAACCAATATGCATTGATTCCATCTTGCTCTGTGTACCGGCGACCAAGTGGCCCAAACCGTTCCAAGCCGACTCCAAGACGGCCCCCATAGGCCACACGATGCCCCTGCGAAGCTCCCAACACGCCCGAACGATGCCAAAAGAAGGCTCCAACGCATCTGCAGCCGACACTGCCGCACAACGCAACCAAGGACCCCAAAACGCAAACACTGCCTGACGAATCACGACAGCACTGAGCCGCCACGGCGCTTGCGTGGTAGCGGGGCGTTACGGTGATACTTGTCTGGTGGGGCGTCGTAACTCCGCCCGAACGTCGCCAATATGTCTCGACTGAACCTCATCGGGGGAACTCGGTAAGCTCATCGCGCACAAGGCGGCGACAAATAGAGTGCGCTGAAGACCCGCGCTTGTTCAGAGAGGGGCGCTGAACGGGCGCGAGCCTTGAACTCAAGCCTCATGTTGCTGCGCTGGCGCGTTGGCGCGATAGTGGACAGGGGGGGCGTCGCAAGCAGCTGGCCCAAATAAGTCAGCCTGCACGAAACAGCCAGCACATCATCCCTTTTGACGCGAGCCCCGCTGGCTGAAAATCCATGCGCAAGACCGCGTCACACTCTCTCCCTCCCTCTATCACTGTCTCTATCCCTCTCTCTCTCTCTCTCCCTCTCTCTCTCTCTCTCTCTCTCCCTCTCTCTCTCTCTCTCTCTCTCTCTCTCCTTCGCTCTCCCTCTCTATATTTTTTTCTAGTTGTCTCCCTCTCTCTCACTCTCTCTCTCTCTTTTTCTCTCTCTCTCTCTCTCTCTCTCTCTCTCTCTCCTCATATGTATACACATAGGTGTATAAATATATACATATGAATATAACTATGTATGTGTGTATATATATGTGCGTAGTCACGAGCTTTGAGTGTGTCCTTTTGGGACAAGCTCGGTTTCTCTGTTCAGGCCCAAAAAAACTCGGATGAAGGTCTGATTCATGTCTGCACTGGACTTCTGATTCAAGTCTGGCTCTCAGCGCCAACTCTGATCTAGGTCTGACTGGAACTCCAATCTAACTCTGGCCCAAAGACCCAAGGCTGGAGCTCTGATTCAACTCTGGCCCTAAGACCCACGTCTGATTTAGGTCTGACTGGGAACTCTAATTTAAGTACGATTCTGGTTTGGTTTGGGCGCGCCGAAATCAATGTCGCGGCGTCGACCCAGAACGTTGCCGGGTCGGCCCTGTGCGCATGCGTCTTCAAGAACAACAGAAGGAATGCGCTAGCCAAGCGGCGGGTCATGGCTGGGGGCCCAGCCGCCAGCTGCCAAATACTGCGAGCTGGGCCCGCCTGCGCACACCGCCCTACGGCAGCGCCAAAGCTAAGGCCTGCGCGGGGGGCACGGGGCAGCGCCCCCCGCCCGCGCAGCCCTGCCCCAAATTGCTCAACTGCAGCTGGCACGAAAAAAGGCCCACCCGAGGCTCGCCCCGCAGGGCTGCCAGCTGCCGCGCCGCGAAAGGATGCGCTGCGCGGTGCCCGCCCCGACCCCCGCCGCCCGCCCGGGGCAGGTCGGGGGCGGGCAGCGCACGGCGCAGAGGAGAATCGCCGAACTTATCGGAAGGCTCGGGAGCGCGGAAGTACCCTGGACGGTTTCTGAAAGGCTTCGGGAAATGGGCAGGGCCCGGGAGGGGCTCGGAGGGTTTTCGAAGGCGGAAGTGGCCTGGGAAGGCGCTCGGCGAGGTTGGGGGGGGCTCGGGGGGCCGGGGAGGACTGCTCAGAGGTCAGGAGTAATATCGAAAGCCTAGCAGGGCTTTGAAGGTGCATGGGGGGTTTGGCTTGGGAGCTTTTCGGTTGTTGCCAGAGGGTGCCGAAGCGTTGGGGCCGCGCCCGGACGCTCGGAAATGGGTTCCGCAGGACACGGCGGGCACTGGGGGGGCACGGAAGGTGTCAGATCATTTTGGACCACAGCGGGGGCTCCTTCGGGCGCGCACGGGGGCGACTCTTCCAAGCGGCGCTGGCAGGGGAGCGAAAATGTGTCAGAATCGGTTCGCGTTGTAAGCGGGCTGGTTTTGCCCGGCTGTTGCCGGGCACTTTCGCTTGCTCAGACACGCCCCCCCGCCCTCCGATTTTGCGTCGTCGGCGGGGGGGGGTCGCGCATGATCGGATTAGCGGTGGTTTTTGCTTCGCGGCGTAGAGCGGCTGCGGGCCGAGTCGCCGCGCTGCCCGGCGCCGGCTCGGAGGCGCGGGGAAGGGCGGGGGAGTTCCCCATCGGCGTCGGAGGCGGCGCGAGGCCCCAAGAGATTCCCAGAGCTCCGGCGGGTGCGAAAGGGCCGGGCGGGATTTCAGCGGGGTAGGAGTCGTGGCTTGGGGGTCGCCATAAGGCCGGCGCGGGCGCCGCCATGGGGGCGCCGCGGAGGGGCCTTCGGCGGGCCTTCAAGGAAACCTTCGGCGATCTCTTGGGCCGCGCCAAGATTGTTTTGAGTCGTCTGGCGTCGCGGTGCTGTCGGGCCGCCCGGCGCGTTGGAAGGCTGCTTGGGTGGGTGCATCTGGGCAGCGGTCCTGGAAGCGCCTCGGCGCTCCCCGGGGCCCTTGGGCGGCTTTCCTGGGCCATCTGGGGGGCCCGTCGGGCGGTCCAAAGCCTCGGCGCTGTCTCGGGGGGATCTCGGGGCAATCCTGAATCGCTCGGAAGCCCTCGCTGGCCGTCTCGGGGCGATGGGGCGGGCGAGGGCGCGAAAAACGCAGAATAACTAACATAAGGAGCGCACGTGGCGCTGCTCATCAAGATCCCGGGGCAAATCCAATCTTTTTTAGGGGGTCGGGTTGGGTAGTTTTGAAGCGGTCCTGGGGCTGCTCGGGGCCCCTGCGCGCGCGTTTGAAATTGAACTTCGGGCCCTCGCGGGAGGGCCGCGGCCGTTTTGGAAACCATCTTGGGCAATCTGGGCGTTCGAGCGCGAGGTGCGCGCGCGCGTCTACGGTTCGACCCGCCGGCTGGAAGGCCGCCCGGAATCCGTTGAAGCGCCGCGCGGGCGGAATCTCCGCGAGCCCCTCGGGCGACTGTCTTCTCGGCCCTCAGCCCGCCCCGCCGCCGCCCCCGGCTTCTGGTCTGGAGCCGCCCTAAAAAAGGCGAAACGCATAGAAGTAAATATGAGGCTCCGGCATCAGAATCTGTTTCGGGGGGCGCCCCGAAGTTGTCCGCTCTTGGCGGCCTTTTGCAGGGCGCTAGGGCGATTGCTCTCAGTCCTGGGGCTCACCTTCGGGGGGGGGCCCTTGGGCCCCATCGAAATTTTCCCTCCGGCCCCGTCCCTGGGGCCGACCAGTTTTTCGCGGTGGCCGCCAGGGCGGTTCGGAGCGATATTCTAAGCTTCTTGGGTTTTCTGCGTTGTCCTGGGCGCTCTCCAGGGGGTCCACCGTGCGATGCCGCTTGAACTCTCGGGCCAGCTCTGGGGCCTTCTAGACGGGGGGATTCCCGCCGACCCCTCCTCCTCCTCCTCCTCCTCCCCCTCCTCCTCCTCCTCCTCCTCCTCCTCCTCATCCTCCTCCTCCTCCTCCTCCTCCTCCTCCTCCTCCTCTTTTTCTTGCTCCTATACTTTGGCCTCGGGCAAGAGATGGCCCAGGATGGACAGGGCGCCCGTCAGCGGCGCGCGCCTTCATGCGGCGACGACGCTCTGCGAAAGCAAGCGGGGGCTCGGAAATCCAAGCGGCGCGGGGGGGGCGCGCGAGGGGTGGCGGGGGAGGAGGAGGAGGGGGGGGAAGAGGAGGAGGAGGAGGAGGAGGAGGAGGAGGAAGAGGAGGAAAATGGGGGAGGGGGAGGAGGAGGAGGGGAGGAGGAGGAGGAAGGGGGAGGAAAATGCGGGAGGAGGAGGGGGAAGGAGCAGGAGAGGGACGGCGAGCGAGGAGAGAGGGCAGGGCGGCACCGAGGAAAGTGGAAAAGACGCAGATCAGAAGGGCCGAGAATGAGGCGGAGAAGGAAAAGGGAAAGGATGGCGGGGGCGAGAGCAGGCGCGAGGGCGGGAACGAGGTCGGAGGACCGGACGGGCGGCCCAAAGAGGGAGTGAAAAGGGAAGGAACGAGGGCGGGAGCGAGGGCCAGAACGAAGGCGGGGACAAGGGGCAAGGGTAGGAACGATCGCGAGAAAAAAGGCGGAGGCGCGGGCGGGAACTGGGGCAGGAACGATGGCGGGGGCGATGGGCGAGAACGAGGGTGATAACGAAGGCGAGAATGAAGGCGGGAACGACGGCGGGAACGAAGGCGAGAACAATGGCGGGGACGAAGGCGGGAACGAGGGCGGGTACGAGGGCGAAAACGAGGGCGGGAACGAAGGCGGGAACGAGGGCGGGAGCGAACGAGAGAACGAGGGCGAGAACGAAGGCGGGAACGAGGGTGGAAACGAGAGCGAGGGCGAGGGCGGGAACAAGGGCGAGAACAAAGGCGGGAGCGACGGCGGGGACGAGGGCGGGAGCGACAGCGGGCGCGAAGGCGAAAACGAGGGCGGGAACGAAGGCGAGAACGAGAGCGGGAACGAGGGCGGGAACGAGGGCGAAAACGAGGGCGAGAACGAGGGCGAAAACGAGAGCGGGAACGAGGGCGAAAACGAAGGCGAGAACGAGGGCGAGAACGAGGGCGGGAAAGAGGGCGGGAGCGAGGGCGGGAACGAGGGCGGGAGGGAGGGCGGGAATGAGGGCGGGGAGCCGCCTCTGGGCGCCTCCGGTATTCCTCTGGGCGCCTCGGGAATTCCCCCGGCGGTTCCAGGGGACCTCAAGGGAACCTCCAAGGAACCGGAACCTCCGGGGAACCTCCAAGGAACCTCCGGGGAACTCCTGGGGAACCTCCGGGGGACCTCTGGGAGATCTGTTCGAGGTCTGTTTGAGGTCTGTTTGAAGTCTGTTTGAGGTATGTTTGAAGTCTTTTTTGGGCCAAACTCTGATTAAGGTATGTTTGAGGTCTGGCCGAATCTCTGAAGTCCGTTTGAGGTCTGGCCGAAACCCTGTTTCAAGTCTGATTCCCCCAGGCGGCCCTCGGTCTCCCCGAGGGGCGGCCGGACGGCCCCGGAACGAGGGCGAAAACGATGGCGAGAACGAGGCTGGAAACGAGGGCGGGGACGAGGGCGAGAACGAGGGCGGGAACGGAGGCGAGAACGGGGGCGAGAACGGGGGCGAAAACGACGGCGGGAACGAGGGCGGGAACGAGGGCGGGAACGAGGGCGGGAACGAGGGCGGGAACGAGGGCGGGAACGAAGGCGGGGACGAGGGCGAGAACGAGGGCGAGAACGGGGGCGAGAACGACGGCGAGGACGAGGGCGAGAACGGGGGCGGGAACGAAGGCGGGAACGAGGGCGGGAACGAGGGCGGGAACGAAGGCGGGGACGAGGGCGAGAACGGGGTCGAAAACGGGGGCGAAAACGACGGCGGAAACGAGGGCGGGGACGAGGGCGGGAAGGAGGGCGGGAACGAGGGCGGGAACGAGGGCGGGAACGAAGGGGGGGACGAGGGCGAAAACGGGGGCGAGAACGGGGGCGAAAACGACGGCGGAAACGAGGGCGGGAACGAGGGCGGGAACGAGGGCGGGAACGAGGGCGGCAACGAGGGCGGGAACGAAGGCGGGGACGAAGGCGGGGACGAGGGCGAAAACGAGGGCGGGAGCGACGGCTGGAACGAGGGCGGGAACGACGGCGGAAACGAAGCGGGAACGAAGGATGGAACGAGGGCGGGAATGAGGGCGGGAATGAGGGCGGGAACGACGGCGAGAGCGAGGGCGGGATCGAAGACGGGAGCGAGGGCCAGAGCGATAAGGGAAGGTGGAAGGATAAGGGAGGGGACAAAGGGAGGAGGGCGAGGAGGAAAGGGAAGGGGAGGGACGGTGGAGGATAAGGGAGGGCCGGGAAGAGGGGGAGGAAAGTGGAGGATAAGGGAAAGAATAAGGGACGGAGGAAAAAGACAAACTGAGGACGAGAGGGGGGGAAGAGGGGCGCGAACGGGGGAGGATGGAAAGGGGGGGAAAGGGAGGCGGAGGAAGGAGGGAGGGGATGGACGAGGTAGGAAAAAGAGCGAAAACGAACCTGTCGGCGTGTGTGAGAGCTTTTCCGTTCGAGTCGTCATCTCCGTCATTATTTGTACTCGTCGTCTCTGTCCTTCCCTTTCCCTGGGAGACCTCTTCCCCTGGGCTCCAGCCAAGCCGACCTTGAGCAACCTCGTAATTGAGTCGAAGGGAAGCCCCTTCCCTTTGATCCCTCCCCCGCCGGGAGGGGGGGGGGTAGCGACCCCCCCCCCGGGTCAGATACGACGCCCCCCCCTGGGACTCCTCTTCCCCTGGGCTCCAGCCAAGCCGACCTTGAGCAACCTCGTAATTGAGTCGAAGGGAAGCCCCTTCCCTTTGATCCCTCCCCCGCCGGGAGGGGGGGGGGGGTAGCGACCCCCCCCCCGGGTCAGATACGACGCCCCCCCCTGGGACTCCTCTTCCCCTGGGCTCCAGCCAAGCCGAACCTCGAATTGAGTCGTAATTGAGTCGAAGGGAAGCCCCTTCCCTTTGATCCCTCCCCCGCCGGGAGGGGGGGGGGGTAGCGACCCCCCCCCCGGGTCAGATACGACGCCCCCCCCTGGGACTCCTCTTCCCCTGGGCTCCAGCCAAGCCGACCTTGAGCAACCTCGTAATTGAGTCGAAGGGAAGCCCCTTCCCTTTGATCCCTCCCCCGCCGGGAGGGGGGGGGGTAGCGACCCCCCCCCGGTCAGATACGACGCCCCCCCCTGGGACTCCTCTTCCCCTGGGCTCCAGCCAAGCCGACCTTGAGCAACCTCGTAATTGAGTCGAAGGGAAGCCCCTTCCCTTTGATCCCTCCCCCGCCGGGAGGGGGGGGGGGTAGCGACCCCCCCCCCGGGTCAGATACGACGCCCCCCCCTGGGACTCCTCTTCCCCTGGGCTCCAGCCAAGCCGACCTTGAGCAACCTCGTAATTGAGTCGAAGGGAAGCCCCTTCCCTTTGATCCCTCCCCCGCCGGGAGGGGGGGGGGGTAGCGACCCCCCCCCCGGGTCAGATACGACGCCCCCCCCTGGGACTCCTCTTCCCCTGGGCTCCAGCCAAGCCGACCTTGAGCAACCTCGTAATTGAGTCGAAGGGAAGCCCCTTCCCTTTGATCCCTCCCCCGCCGGGAGGGGGGGGGGGTAGCGACCCCCCCCCCGGGTCAGATACGACGCCCCCCCCTGGGACTCCTCTTCCCCTGGGCTCCAGCCAAGCCGACCTTGAGCAACCTCGTAATTGAGTCGAAGGGAAGCCCCTTCCCTTTGATCCCTCCCCCGCCGGGAGGGGGGGGGGGGGCGACCCCCCCCCGGGTCAGATACGACGCCCCCCCTGGGTCTTCCCCTGGGTCCAGCCAAGCCGACCTTGAGCAACCTCGTAATTGAGTCGAAGGGAAGCCGCCGGGAGGGGGGGGGGTAGCGACCCCCCCCCCGGGTCAGATACGACGCCCCCCCCTGGGACTCCTCTTCCCCTGGGCTCCAGCCAAGCCGACCTTGAGCAACCTCGTAATTGAGTCGAAGGGAAGCCCCTTCCCTTTGATCCCTCCCCCGCCGGGAGGGGGGGGGGGTAGCGGGGGGGGTAGCGACCCCCCCCCCGAGTCAGATACGACGCCCCCCCCCCGTACCGACCTTGAGCAACGTCGTCATTGAGTCGAAGGGAAGCCCCTTCCCTTTCCCTTCCCCGACGGGGGGGGGAGAGGAGGTCCCGGGGGGGGGTCCCGGGGGAGTCCCGGGGAAGTCCCGGGTCAGATACGACACCTCCCTCCCCCACCTTCTCGTCCTTCTCCCCGTTCCCCCAAACCATCCCACAGCCCGTGCCTCTTGCTGCGCATTGCGAACAGGGTCGGCGGCACCGGCCGTCAGGCCTTCGCAATAAGGGACGGAGGAAAAAGACAAACTGAGGACGAGAGGGGGGGAAGAGGGGCGCGAACGGGGGAGGATGGAAAGGGGGGGAAAGGGAGGCGGAGGAAGGAGGGAGGGGATGGACGAGGTAGGAAAAAGAGCGAAAACGAACCAGGGTCCGATAAAACGAGACCACGACCCAGGGGCCGACAAAAAACAACCGAGACAACGAGACAACAAACCAGCGCCCGAGTAAACGAAACCACGACCCAGAGGTCGACAAAAAGAGACAACGAGAAAACGAACCAGGGCCCGAGAAAGCGATAACACAACCCAAGGGCCGAGACAACAGTAAAAACGAACCAGGGCCCGAGAAAACGCAACAAAAACCCAAACACCAAGAAAACGAGAAAACGGACAACGAACCAGGGCCCGAGAAAACACGATAACAACCCAGGGGCCGAGAACACGAGAAAACGATAAAACAAACCAAACCGAGAAAACTAACAAAAACTATAAAACGAACCAAAGCCCTAGAATCCGAGACCACGACCCAGGGGCCCAAGGGCCGAGACAACGAGAAAACGAGAAAACGAACCTGGGCCTGAGAAAACGAGACTACGACCCAGGGGCCGAGAAAACGAGTAAACGAACCAGGGCCAAAGAAAACAAAACCACAATCCAGGGACCAGGAAACGGAGAACACGAGAAACCGAACCGGGGGCCGAGAAAACAAAAAACGAACCAGGGTCAGGGAAAACGAGACCACGACCAAGGGGCCGAGAACACGAGAAAACTAAAAAACTAACAATGGCCCGAGGAAAAATGACGCCACGACCCAGGGGCCGAGAAAACAAGAAAGCGAGATCGCGAACCAGGGCCCGAAAAACCAACACACAAAAAAACATAATCCGAGAAAACGAAGCAGAAAACAACGAGCCAGGGTCCGAGAAAACGAGACCACAACCCAGGGGCCGAGAAAACAATAAACGAGAAAACAAAACAAGGTCAGAGCAAACGAGACCACGACCCAAGGGCACAGAAAACGCGAAAACGAACCAGGGTCCGAGAAAACACGACCACGACCCAGGGGCCGAGAAAACGAGAAAACGTTAAAAGGAATAAGGGCCCGAGAAAACAAGACAACGAACCAGGGGCCGAGAAAACAAGATAACCAAACCAAAACGAACCCGAACAGAGAAAACGAGACCACGACCCAAAGGCCTAGAAAACAAACGACGAGAAAACGAACCAGGCCCCGAGAAAACGAGACCACGACCCAGCAGCCGAGGACATGTTTTTGATCCGCGGGTCGAGAGCGAGCCTCTTCCAATAGAAGCTAAGCGGGCCACGCACAGCTTTAATTAGCAGAGGGGGGCAAAAGAATGCGGGGCCTCACGTCAAGGCCAGGAGAGGGCAAAGCCCTGGGATCAGGCGGTGCTGAAATCGAAGTGCAGGAAAAGGTACGCCTTGGACAGGAACCCGGTGGCGAAGTCCTAGGAGGCGAAGAGCCGGTGGTGGTGCCGTCAGCGGCGCTTCGAGTACACCAGCCCCATCAACTGCGGGAGAGGACGCGCCACGCAACCAGGACGACGCCCGAGAGGAAGCAGCCGAGGAAATGAGAAAAATCGCGAAAACGACCCACGACCCAGGGGCCGAGATCACCAGAAAACGATTGGTTCGAGAAAACGAGACCACGACCCAGGAGCCGAGAAAACGAAGAAACGAGAAAACGAAGCAGGGCCAGAGAAAACGAGACCGCCACCCGCGGGCCGAGACAACGAGAAAACGAGAATACGAATCAGCGTCCGAGAAAAGAAAACCACAACCCAGGGGCCGAGAAAACGAGAAAACGAAGCAGGGTCCGAGAAAACTGGACCACGACCCAGGCGCTGAGAAAACGAGAAAACAAGAACGCGAACCAAGGCCAAAGAAAACGAGACCGCGACACAGGAGCCGAAAACACGAGAAAACACGAAAACGAACCAGGGGCCGAGAAAATGAGAAAACGATGAAAGGAATCAGGGTCCGAGAAAACTAGACTATGAACCAGGGGCCGAGAAAACAAGAAAGCAAGAAAACGAACCAGGGGTCGACGTTCTTATCCAATTTCGCAATCTTGCACTGCGGTGCGCACCTGTCGTCAAGGATTCCGCCATTTTGCCAGAGCCCCGGAAGGGAGGGGGGGAGGTAGCTTCGGAAGCCCCCCCTCCTTTGCACAGGAGGGAGCGAGCGAGCATGCAGCAGTGCAGTCGAAGACGATAGCACAGAGCATAAAAAAAGAGAGAGGTTGGCACGGTCAAGAGACCGCGCCCGAATATATGAAGAGCGGGGCCCTGGGCCTTATGGGATTGCAAGGCCAGGGCCACGCAAGCTCAATCAGAGCTGTCAGAGTCCCCACCACCCGCCTCCACCCCCGCCGCCCCCCCAGAGACGCAAGCCGCCTCCTCGAGGCTCGGGGCGGCGGCGAACTGCAGCGCCAGGTCGCTCGGGTCGGTTGGAGGGGCGGAGGCTTTCGCCTCGGGGGGAGGGGAAGGCAAGGTAGCACCCGCCCTGGGATGCTTGCCTCGTGCAGCGAGCGCCAGCATCCTGAGGTGCCCAGCGCGAGTGGACCTGACGCGCGACTCACCTCTACATTCCTTGCTGAGTCCCCGACAGAAACCATCTGGGAGCACAAGCGAGCAAGCACATGACTGGCATATAATTACTCGCCCGTATCTGATCGGGCGATGCTGCAAATTGCGAAAAACATCGAGGCCGTCGTCCGAGGCCGACTCTCTTGGCCTGGGGCAGGAGGAGGACGAGGAGGTCCCCAGGGCCCCAGAAGAGGAAGGAGGTAAACCAAGGTCGGCCGACTCAGGCTCTAATGACATTTCTGCCTGCTGGTCAGAAAACGCGCCTCCAGGGGAGCCCCTAGGAGAAGAAACCGCGTCAGCAG